ACTCTACAGAAAAGTTGATTGAAAAGAAGTATGAGATATTATTGTATAGATATTTGAATTGAGTTTTTTGATATAAGTTTATTAGTGTTTTTGTTTTTAGTTAGAGATAAAGATAGTATATTGAATAGAATATCTTCATTAATAGTAGTAGTATTAAATTGGATATTGAATTTTTTAAAGATAATTTTTTCTGCCTAAGGATAGAATTTATCTCTATATTTAGCAGAAATTTGTGTAATAGAGAGTTTTGGTTGTTGAAATAAGTAAAGGTATGTTAAAATTCTAGCAAGATGATATATGTCTATAGGTTTAGAAGTAATTTTTAGATTATTTGATGATAGTTAGGCCACTCCAATTCAATTTCTTGTTTAACATAACAAAGTTAAAATTTTTTAGAGGAGGGGAGGAGAATTTAAACAACAGTAATATATATAATTATATAGTAATATTTTATATCTAATTCTGCTATTTTTATATTTAAAGTTAGCTTGTTTTATATAGATAAAAAACTATTAGCTAAACTGCTTTTCATTCTACTATTATGATAATATCTGATACAATCTTACTTGCTAATTTTTTTATAAATATATTATTATTTTAGTTCAAATTACTAATTTAATATATTCTGCAAATTTAATTAAATTTATTTCTAATCAAATTATTTATCGTAGTTTACAAAATGATATATTTTTAATTAAATAAATTATACTTACATATACAATTATTTAATTATAGTATAAAGACTAAAAATTAATACAAATAAATATTTTATAATTTATGACTTTATATACTTATACTCTTAAAATAATACTAGTATTCTCAAAAACAGTTTTGTACAATTAGATACTAATCAAATGATTTTATATATAAGATATAATCTAGAAGTTTGATCAAAAATATATTATTTTGCAAACTAAGATAATATAAAAGTATTATTTATTTATTCATTTAATATTTTAAAACTTAATTTTTTATTTAGACTAGTTTTAGACTAGTTTTGAATAGTTTCTAAAAAGTTCATTTCAGATCTGGTCTGAACTAATTTCTTGTAAACTTAAAATTTTTAGACAACAAAATAATTCATTTATTAATATATTTGTTAAATAAACAATTGACTATATCTAAACTTAATATATATTCATACTATTTAATTATATACTTCACTAATAACTAACCAAATCTTAGTTATTAATTTTATGCTTTTTTGTAGTTTTTGTATGAGTTTTAATTTCACTACGTACAAAAAATTCTTTTCTTGCATCTCAACATAATGTACAGTATGAAAATAAAGATTTATATTTTGATTTCAGACTTTTTGAAGGTTCTGCTAATTCATTATCATATCCATACTAATAACAAATATTACTATTAATATTTAATTTCTGACAAGAATAATATGCTAATTCTATTGGTGTTTCATAACTAATTTTTTCTCTTACAAAAACTTCATCATATAGAATATGGTTTTCTGGAACAAATAGTGATCCACAACTATAGTTCCAATTATTTATAGCAATTTGGCATACTATTTTATTCTCTGCAGATAATGCATATTTACTATATAAACAACGTATTTTTCTACATTGAAAGTATTGAATAAATTTTCGAACTCGTATATTTACTAAAATAGATGATGATGCATATTTATTATTTGTAATTGTTGTTATAAATATTGGATGATATTGTTCAGATATTGTTGATCGATATACTGATTGAAATTTAGCATATTGATCATTATTGGCTATAATTAATAAATTTTATTTATTAATATTATATATATAATACAAACAAATAGCTTTAAACTGTACCTGTAGAAAGAATCGGATCTGGTAACCAATCTAGTGAATTAAAAATATCATCTGGAAGATGAATAGGCTGACAAATATTACAAGCTAACTGATTACATTTTTTTATCTAAAAGAATTATTTAATATTTAAATTAAAAATTAAAAAGAATTTGTTATTATAAATTTATTTTAAAGTTATAAATTTAAATACCAATATATAAATTTCTATATAGACAAGCTTTTAATATATACTATATAGTGTTATATATAATATTCTCTTAAAAAATTATCTATTTAAATAATACTAAGATATTATTTAATTATATTTTCTAATATTTTTGAAAAGTATCTTAGACTTATCAAGTAGTTTGAATTAATATTCTTATTATATGATTAAATTATAATTAATATATCTCTTTTTATAAAGTACTCTAAAGCTATTATTAATTTATCTTAATATTTTTAAAAAAGACTAAGAGTATTATGTGCAGTACTATATAGTATTTAGAGAATAATATAAAACTATTTACCTGAAAAACATATTGACGATATCTGTAATATATTTGCATAAATTGTTGTAAATCTTTTTTTTTTGATAAAATATTTCTTATTGTTTCTGAAATCTTTAAAGTTTGATCAATTAACAATATAATCTAATAAATAATATATTAGTATATAAATTAAAATAAGTACTTTAAATTTATTAATTTAATTACATACATTAAAAAATTTGTCAATCTCCATTTCATCTACTGAAATATAGCATTGAAATTGTTCACTATGTAAAACTAATCTTTTAATACGTTCTTCTAATAAATGTTGTATACTTTCAATATATTTATGCAAATCATTCTGTAAAATTAAGTTTGTTTTAGCAGCAGTACGAATTTCACTTAATGTATCTAATTTAGCAAATTCTACTTCTGACTTTGAACTCATTGTATTTCTAACTAATACTACATCTTGTAAATCTAAATTTAAAATAGATATAATTCTTTCTGCAGGATTAGTTCAACTATGATAAGGTGCTGTGCGCATTGCAATAAGCATATCAAAATTACCTTGTAAAAATAAACAAATAAAAGAAATTTAAACAGAAGAAAATACTATATGATGATCAGGATCACTATCAGTATAAAGACAAAGAATTGGAGGAATATTATTAAAACAATTAGTAGAAATTACATGATAAAATTCAGTAGCATGTCTAATTGCACTACTAGGTTGAAATACTGTATCTTTAAATGAAACAAATACTTTTCCACTATAAAAAGAATCTTCAATAGATTGAGGAATATCACAAAAAAATATTACAGAAGGTGTAAGGGATAATTTTGTAAAATTATGATCACATGCAGCTAAAGAAGCTTCTTAAAATACTATAGATTTTTTATTATGTACACCAGTAGAAGTATTAATATCTTCTCCAATAGGTACTTTGTGTTTGTTATCAGCACAGATAAATAAAGTATATTGTCAATATAAATTGCAAATTCTCTTAAGTATCAAAAAAAAGCTATATAGTAATGTATATCTGAATGATCTTTGCGAAGCAATCTTGCCTGAACCATAAATTTAATATTAAAATATCCTGTATATTGTTTAGCTTTTTCAGTTATTGGATTAGTTAGTTGAAACTGCAAATGTATCTATTCTTTACTTGGAAATAAGATATTTTCAGATACAGACTTATTATTTAGTCATTGAATAATTATTTCACAAAGATCATATATTGAAATAGCATGTGGCATATAAAGGATATTCCCATATCAACGATCATTAACTGCTAGTATATTCTAATAAAATAAATTAATTAACAAATAATTTATTACATATAATATATATATAGATTAAAAAATATACCTCATTAAAATAAGCTTCTAATTCATTCCAAAATATATCAAATTTTGTTTCTTTAAATCTATTATTCTGACGCAAATCACATATAATTAATAGATCCTCTGTTGCTAATATAAGATGAAGTCATTCTTCTAACTCTTTACTAATCTCATTTGGTGTTATAGCAGTATTGCCAGTTAAATCATAATATAAAATATGTAAAATAGCAGGTGTAATAGTTCGAATTAATGAATACTATTATTTTTGTAGTTTAAAAATTAGTATATTAAATTTGTATATTTTTAAATAATATATATAATATTTACTTTTTTTAGCACATTTTTTCTCATTTGTTGACTAAAATATTGTAGCAATCTTTCTTGAATAGCTGCCATTACACGTGCTTGAGTAGTTTCTGATCGGTCTTCAAAATTAAATGGAATTTTTCAAATATAATTAATAGTACCAAGATAATTACCTTGATAATAATGATATAAAGTAACTGGAAATTGTGTTTAAAGATTCTTAATATAATAATAACATTGTATTGTATCTTTAGATAAAAATCTTTTCAGATTAATTTCATTATAATCATTAACATTAGATAAAAAATCTTGAAGTTGCTAGTATTTTATATTAATTTTTTGACAAGATTTAATCATATATACTTTTAAATCATTAGCTGACTGACATGCTGGAGTTTTACTCAAATGTATTTCTTTCACAGCTTGATTAATTTGCTCTAAATTTTTTGCATATTTTTGTATCGAAGATATTAAAGTAAAAATCTCATTAATAATTATTTCCTAATTATTATTTGTTGTCTATAGCTATACTACTAATAGTTCTAATAAAGAAGCTAGTTGCTCAAGTTTATCATATTTAAGATTAGATTTAGCATATTTTCTAGTATTATAAAAAAGATTATAATGTTGATCTTTCTGATACTGATCTAATTCGTTAAATAGTTTACTAAGTGAGAGTGATCATACTATAAATTTAGTGTAATGTAGATCTATATACTACAAGACTGCTGTTAAGTATTCAATAAAACTTTTTCCAATAGTATTATGTATTGCATTTTTCTAACCAACTCCTTTATTTTGAAATAAGCAAATAATATCATTATAAAGTAAGTCCCTACGATTATTCTCTTTTTTTAATTCAGGAAGGTAAATATTTTATAAATTTTTCATAAGAATATTAAGTGCATTTAGACTTTAGTGAAAAGATTCTTGAATGCTGGTCTCTGCTATATCTAAAACAAATTTAATATGGGTAAAATTAAGCTCAAATAGCATTAATACATCATCCTGTAACCCTTCTTCTACATAAACCTATTTTTCTGGAGGCTTGCTCAAAAATACTCGAACAACACAATCTTCAAATTGATTATTTGTTATTATATTAAAGATATCATAAAATTGAGAACTTTCTGTATGTAACACCTTTATGACTTTATCTGGAATAATAGTTTTTGTTCCTCTAAGTACACATACAACAAAAAAAACCATTATTTAATAAAATTTGCTGGTAAAGGTATTTATATGCAAATTAAGGATCTATCTGTTAGGCTTGCTGAGGAAGTAATTTATTAGAAATTCAAATTAACAAATCAAATATTCGATATTGTCAAAATATAATATAAAATGACTAATACTAATTAAGCACTACTAGAAGAAAGTGATTATATGGCAGTAGTTAGAGTTAAACCTCAAGTAAATCATGTATATAATCTTGTTTTAGTCAATAAATATGAAGTTTTGTATTACTATTACTATAGTTACGATATCAGGTGTCGCAATGTACCATATGGGTTAAATTGATCTTGATTAGAAAAATCAATCAGAATTATCAGATTAGAAGTTTATTTTTTCAATACTTCATACAAAAAAAATTTATAATATATATATTTTAATACCTCAATGTTAATGTCACTATTACTAATAAGTCTTGGTAATTTCAACAACAGATACAAGAAGTCTAAGTGAAACATAAATATATGGATATTAACAACTAATCTACAGCTAAATATAAATTAATCAGTTTATTACTAGCTATGATAAAGTTCAAAAAAAAAAACTCTATATATACTTAAATTTGCATTTCTATTTTAGTATTTATTATTATGTTATACACTTTACTGTTACTATTTTTCTATCGTTATTATTTCTTTGTTTATTGATATTTCAATAAGTACACATTATGTATTATTATTATTATACATATTGTTATTTTGTATACACCAACAAGTTTTCAATAATTCCTAAAAGAGAAATCATATTTTTAATTTTCTCATACTGTTAATTGGAAAAGCAGGCAATGTTGCACAGTTTAGCTCCAATAGTTAGTGAGGTACTGGGTTTAATAATCTAATTATGGGTAAGTATGAATAATGAATTCAGTACGTAGTCTTTTTATAAGGTCGAGAATGAGTTAATAGGAAGAGATAATAATTTAAAGGAGGATCAAAAATATAGAGATTTATGCAAGAGTAGTATTACTATCAAATATACTACATACAATAAATCTAATAACTTAAAAGTGATCAAAACATTGATCACTATACTAATAAATCAGGTATTAATACAAAATGAATCTCAGGTTGTCTTAAGTTGTAATGTCTTCAATATATATATCATCAAGAATACAGCTTCTGATTATTCAGAGAGAGGTCTATTCAGCCTTGATGCTATGAAAAAGAGACTAAGAAAAGGAAACTGTGACAAGTAACATGATTGACTAGTCATATTCCTTCCAGAACACAAACTAGTGGAGCAAGTCACATATGTCGCATTCATTGTATATGTCACATGTAATGTATGCGATACATATAATGAATGTAACCTATGCGAAATATATGGGATATAGAGGATATGTTTAATAAATATAATATGTAACTTTAAGAAAAATATATTATAAATAAAGGTTGAAATAGCTCTTGAGAGAATTAAGTCTCGCCTTTGCTTCATTAAAAATAATAAAGTTCTAATTTTATTAAATAAATCGCTCACACTAATAACACTACTACCCTAAGTCCTTCAATAAATTTAACTTATAATAAATTGTTCATTTAACCTCTTATCTATGTGACCCAATAATATTGTTTCGCTAACATACTCCTTAAGTTCTAAATTATAAATCATTATTCCATTGTACCTCTTGCTCATATGACCGAATCTTACCAGACATTTGGAACCTAAGTAACCTGAAGTCTTACCAAGCCCTCAGCCTAATCTAACACACCTCTTTTGAAAGGTTACTTACTTTTGGTTATATGAGTTTTTGGTATTGTTGAGTGACCAAGTCATAGTTATTTTCTCTGCTCACAATGCTTACTTCCTTTATATTAATCAAGAGACATAGCATATACTTTAATCAACAAACATAGTGAAGAATCAATTATTTAATATAGCAGGTTTAAGGTAATTCTAATATTTTAGAAAAGTTAAAGAATTTTAATATAAAGTAATACTGATTTATTTAATTCATAACTGGTCCTTTTGGAAAGACAAAAAGGACCTATATTTATACAATTTTGTTCATGAAGACTATAATAAGTAAATTTTATATATGATTAAATTGCTCATATCTTTATGAGCATTTGATTACTCCTTCGTGAGCAGTTGCTTTGCCTGTGATTAAACTATTTCAAGGTAATACAAAGTCACACTGCTCGCATCACTAATCTATGGCTTATTTGATTATGCGCTATAGCCTTAACTATTCATCTTAATGTTTACCCTTGCCTCAACTGCTTATCTTAATGTTGATAAGCATAGCTACCATGGTTCTTTAACGTAAACAAGGGCATGAGTAGAATGAATTATAAACAAATAACTATATACAGGTATGACTGAAATAAAAAAAAGTCTACGTATAATAATATAAATAAATAAACAAAATAAAAAGAATTAAAAATAAGAAAACTTGTGACTGAGAGCAAGACACCAATTTATATTCCAACAACATCTATTATGCTTGCTATATTACTTACTGCATACAATATTTATAATTTATTATGATTATTATTTTATCATTTATCATGAGTTTTGTAATTCATTAATACATCAACTTGAAGTTACCTGATAAAATGGTTTTGCTATTTATCAGGTATCATAGTCTTTTACAAAGTGATCTCTAAAATTTTTAATCAGAAAACATCAGAGGTAGGCTAGCATTTAGCGATATTAGCTAGCATAGTCTATAGCTGGGTATTTTTATTTAATAAACTACTATAATTTTAGTAATAAAATTTTTGGTAATCTTAGGTAATTTTGGTCTAGCTGACCAGAATTCTGATGTATTCTGGCTCGAAATTTTGGAGATCTTTTTGTATAAGTTCATTTTGAAACTAGGCATTATATATATATATGTTGTTTAACTCCTCCTTATTATTTGTGCAATATAGAGGAGGAGGGTTATGTTAAACATAGATTTAAATTGGAGTGGCCTTAAGAGTAAAAATTCCTTCATTTATAGCTGCTACTATAAGGAAAGCTTTAAGATAAATATAAAAGTAGTAAATATGTCTTTTAATACTAGTTGCTATATTGTTTTGTTTAATGAATTTTTGTTTAACTAAGTTAGCCAGTTTATAAAATAGAGTGATTAGTATGAATATTTGGAATGATGCTTTGTTTAGTTAGTCTTTTTGAAATTATTAATAGTCAAGTTCAAGATATATCTATCTAGCTTTGTCTTTAGAAAGATCAGATAATAGAGTTGCTGAAAATTTAGTAAAGAATTGATCAAAGAAAGAAGTTAAAATATTCTTGAAATTATGTTCTATATCAGTAGATAAGATATTGTAGTCTATGCTAGTACAGATATGGATATGAAAAAGAGCAGCTTTAGTATATAGAACTGTATATTCACAGAAAGATTTAATTGAAGTTATTTTAAAGTTTTTTGAAAAAAGTTTTTTATAAGCTTTAGCAAGATTAAGTATAATTTTATGTTTGATATAATTGTAAGTTTTGGTTTGATCTATTGTTAGAAATTGATATTTGTAAATTTTAAAAAATTGGTTAAACTATTTGTCAAGATCCTTTTTATGTTTTTTGAGTAATAGAATTCTAAAAGTTTCTGTAAATTTTTGTTTAAAAATATTAAGAGAGATATTAATATTGAATTTGTAATTGTATTGAATTTAAAAGAGAGATTAATGAATTTTGTTTTCAAAAATAAAGTAATATAATTGGAATCTTTTGGGTTTGATATTAAGATCTTCAAAGAATTTGTTAGCATAAATAGTTTTGTAATCATCATAGAAAAAGAGATAAATAGGTCTAGTGATCTTAGTGTAGTGATTAGGTTGCCAGACCACTATGCAAGAGATCTGGGGTTCAAATCCTACTGTTGACGAATTTGAATAATTACCTAGACCTTTGTATCTAACTTACAGTAAACTCTGTTCGTTTCTGGGGTTATAACCCTGTAAATCATGTTGCACTAATATTATCCGGATATTAGAAATATGACGAGGCATTTGGTGAGACGTAATATTATACAAATAAATTTTGATAGGATCTATGAGCAGGGAACCTGCATAGTAGAAATCCCGAGTTGGTAAAGTAGTATAGCCTTCGATAGTCACATCAGCTAATACTTGATCTAGAAAAGAAACTATTAACAAAAGATGTAGATCGAGTCGAGTACGCATAAATCTGTTCAATAGGGACGATCAGTAACACCAACCTGGTATAGTAGCTAACTGGATTAGGAGGATCTGCCATGTGAAACATCTGAGAAAATAGAATACAGAAAACTGGTAGAGAGCCATGGTAGGAACTGGGGTTGTACGAACATCTACAAGGGTCTAAGCTAGGTGAATCTGTAAAATGAGTACAGACTACTCTAGTAGGTATACTTTGAGGTTAACTAGCTCTGCAATATCTACAATGCATTAGGTACAATGTATCCTGAGAGAACCTAAGCCATTCTGAATAAATAGATCTGTAACAAGCTAGCTGGCTTAAGTAGTTAGGTGTTACAGTGATATTAGGTTGAATCTGTATGGGTTAATGAACAGAGTGTTTAAATAGGTAACTCATAGGTGCGTTACAGGTATAGCAGCATAGTGTAGAACCAATCAGGTAGTCTAATCGCCTGTGCAGTAGACTACTTAAATTAGACAATGACTAAAGTTGTACATGTAGCTTGTTGTACACTCCTTATATAATTACAAACAGTAGAGACTATCAATGTATATCTCGTATGTAATTCTAATAAAATTCCTTCAGCAATGTAAGCCACCTTAATAACAAAAAAAAAAAAGAGAAAGAGATAAATTTTAGCAAAATTATAGTAATAAGTTACAGTTTAGAATAGTATAGAGAGGAATTGTGTTGAATGATGATAGAATTTTTTAGTAGTTAAATTTGGTAAAAAAGATTGTTGTAAATTTAGATAAAAGAGATTTAAAGATTGAGTGAATGATATCGAAAGAGATTGTAGTAGCTTTATCAATTTTTGGATTTGTATTAAAAATGAGGTTAGTAAGAAAATCAAG